ATGACAGAAGAGAATTACCTCATAAAATTTATTTCCTGATAAAGGGCATCTACAAAAAGCTTACAGCTAACATCATACTTAAAGGTAAAAGACTGAAAGCTTTCCCCCTAAGATTGGAAACAAGACAAGGATGTCAACCTTTTGCTGCTTTTATTCAACATTGTACTGGAGGTTCTAAGTAAAAGCAATTAGGTAAGAAAAAGAAATAAAAGGATTCCAGAATAGAAAGAAAGAAGTAAAACTATTTTCAGGAGATAAAATCTTGAATATAGAAAAGCCTAAGGAATTTGCAAAAAAATACATAGAGCTAGTAAACAGGTTAAGCAAAGTTTCAGAATACAAAATCAATACACAAAAACACTTGTATTTCTATACAGTAGCAATGAATAATCCAAAAATGAAATTAAGAAAAAAATTCCATTTACAATAGTTCCAAGATGAATAAAATATTTAGACATAAATTAAACAAAAGAAATGTAATACTTGTACATTAAAAGCTATACAACATTATTGAAAGAAATTGAAGAAGGCCTAAATATATGCAGAAAATATCTGTTTCCTGGATCAGAAGACTTAATATTGTTAAGATGGTAATTCTTCCCCAAATTAATCTACAGATATGATGCAAACCCAATCAAAATTACAGTTGTTCTTTTTGTAGAAATTGACAAGCTCTTCATAAAATTCATATGTAAATAGCCAAAACAATATTTAAAAAGAAGAATAAAGTTGGAGGACTCATACTTCCTGATTTTAAAATTTATTACAAAGCTATGATAATCAAGACTATATATTACTGGCATGAGGACAGACATATAGACCAATAGAATAGAATGGAGAGTCCAGAAATAAACCCATATATCTAAGATCAACTGATTTTCAACAAGAGTGTCAAGACAATTAATGGGTGAAAGAACAGTCTTTTTAACAAATGGGATTAGGACAACCAGATATCCACATGCAAAAGAATAATTTCAGAACACTACCTCATATGATATACAAAAATTAACTCAAAATGGATCAAGAACCTATGTGTATGAATTAAAACTATAAAACTCCTAGAAGGAATCACAGGAATAAATCTTTGTGACTTCAGATTTGGGAATGGTTTCTTAGATATGACACTTAAAGCACAACCAACCAAAGGAAAAAAGGTATCGATTTCGTCAAAACTAAAAACTTTTATGTTGCAAAATATTAATGTCACGAAAGTGAAAAGACAGCTCATGGAACTGGAGAAAATATTTGCACATCAAATCTGGTGTCCAGAGTATATAAAAAAAATTCTTAAAGCTCAACAATAAAAAGGTGAAGAACCTTATCAAAAAATGGGCTAAGAAATTCAATAGACATTTCTCCAAGAAGTTATACTAGTGCCCAATAAACTCATTAAAAGATGCTCAACATCATTAGTCACTGAAGAAATGCAAATCAAAATAATATCACTTCACACCCATTAGAACAGCTATAATGAAAAAGACAAACAAAGACAAGCGTTGATGAGGCTGTGGAAAATTGGAACCCTCATACATTGCTGGTGAAAATGTAAAGTTGTACAGTGACTTTGGAGAACAGTTTGACAGTTCCTTGAAAAGTTAAACAGAATTTCTGTATGTCCTGGCAATTCTTGGGAATGCCCAAATCACATAGGTATATTCCCAAGAGAATTGAAAACATATGTTCACACTAAAACTTGTACATGAATCCTTGCAGTAGCATGATTCATAATAGTAAAAAAGTAGAAACAAACCAGATGCTTCTCAACTGATGAACAGCTAAACAAAATGTGGCATATTCATACAATGGAATGTTATTTGGCCTTAAAAAGTAATGCTACAATATGGATGATCCTTGACAACATTATGCTAAGTGAAAGAGACTGGACACAAAGGGCCATATATTATGATTCCATTTATACAAAATGTCCAGAATACACAAGCCTTTAGAGACAGGAAGTATACTAGTGGCCAGAAAGTATATTGGGGGAAGGAAAAATAGGGAGTGACTGCTAATAGGCAGAATGTTTCTTTCTTGGGTGATAAAAATGTTATAGAATTATGCTATCTGCAAACAGGGACAATTTGACTTTGTCTTTCCAATCCGGATGCTCTTTTTTTCTTTCTCTTGCCTGATTGCTCTGGCTAGTACTTCCAATAGGAGTGGTGAGAGTGGGCATCCTTGTTACTGTCCTAAAAGCTTTTCTCTATTCAGGTTGATATTGGCAGTGGGTTTGTTATATATGGCTTTTATTGTGTTGAGATACTTTCCTTCTATACCTAATTTGTTGAGAATCTTTATCATGAAGTGATGTTGAATTTTGTCAAATGCTTTTTCTGCATCTATTATCATATGGTTTTCATCCTTGATTTTGTTGACATGGTGAATCACATTTATTGACTTGTGTATGTTGAACCATCCTTGCAACCCTGGGATGAATCCCATTTGACTGTGGTGTATAATTTTTTTGATGTGTTGCTGCTGTATTCTATTTGCTTATATCTTATTGAGGACTTTTAAAATTAGATGGTGGTGATGGTTGTACAACCTTACAAATATACTAAAAAGCACTGAATTGTTCACCTTAAAAAGGTGTACAATTTGGGCCGGCCCGGTGGTGCACTGGATAGTGCGCTGCTTGGGAAGTGTGGCGGCGCTCCCGCCCCGGGGGGCGGGGCC